GCCCTGTCCACGGAGCCCACTGCCACAGAGGCCCTGCCCATGGAGTCTACTGTCATGGAGATTCTGTCCACGGAGCCAGAAGCCACGGGTGCCCTGTCCACGGAGCCCACTGCCACAGAGGCCCTGTCCACAGATCCAGCCACCACAAAGGTCCCATCCACAGGACCTGCCACCATAGGGCGCCTAACCACGGTCCTTCTTGTGACCTCTGATCCTCAAAACAGCACCACTGTGGCAGGAGGCAATTTGCTTGATGTCCTCACCAAACGATGGGAAAATCGGCAGCATCTCTCCCCACAGAGCTCTGTGGCCCCCATCCCCACAGGGGCCCTGGACCGCATCCCCGTGAAGCAGTGCTTGCTGGCCATCCTCATCCTGGCCTTGGTAGCCACGACTTTTCTCGTGTGCACAGTGGTGCTGGCCATCCGCCTCTCCCGCAAGAATCACATGTACCCGGTGCGCAATTATTCCCCCACCGAGATGGTCTGCATCTCATCCCTGCTGCCTGAGGGGGGCGAAGTGCCCACGGCCACGGCCAATGGGGGCCTGCCCAATGCCAAGAGCCAGGGCCTAAAGGCGGAGCCTGGGGAGGGCCGAGATGGGGACGACCTCACCTTGCAGAGCTTCCTCCCTTAACTCCTCCGTTCGTCCATGAGAGCAGGACCCGGGCCTCCTGGCTCCCTCCAAGGCCCGCCGGGCCACAACCAAGCACCCAGGCTCTGTTCCAGGTCTGGGTTTCCTTGGGGCCCCCTGGGGATGGGGACCTTTAGAACAGGGCCCCTGGTTGGCCCACAGAACCGAAAGCGGCTGAATTCTTGCAGCCAAAGCAGGATTGGTGAGCCAGACGCCTTGTCCTCCCCCTCCAGAGGAGGCCAGAGAGATCCCTCCACCTCCCTGTCTCCCACCTGTCTGGGCTCCCTCTAATGCCTCCCACTGCTGAGGTCTCATCCCCATGCACCCAGGGAAGACCCAGAGTCTTCTGGTTGCTGTCACTGTACAGGAAGGGGGAATTTGGGGGAGGAGTGCTGGGTTCCTGAGGCCATTCCTGGTTACCCCCCCACTTGGGGGCAGCTTGGGTTTTCTTGGGCGTTTCCCCAGGGAGCCCAGGGTGAGATCCTGGCCTGTGAGGTCTGGGGTATACTTGGAGAGCCCAGGGCTATACCCTTCTTTGGGGCTGTGTGGACCAACGAGCTTCTTCCTGGGGACAGAGTAACCCCTATCCTGCCCTCTCTCATCTGCGCCTATGCCTACATTTTAGGGAGGGCTCTGTCTTGTTCACTGAATATCCCACCCCCCAGCCCAGGGCCTGGTACAGCACAGGCCTTCAATAAATATTTGATAAACAAATGATGGCTGAATGTTTCAGGGTATCAGGGTGCCTCCTTCTGGTGGGGAGTTGGTCCTTTGCTGTTCACCCCCAGCCCCCTCCCGGAAGCTCCCTGTATAGGCCTAAAGTTGACTTCAGTGTTGTCTCTTGGACACTGGGAACATCTTGGTACATCTTTGGGCAGCTGGGGAAGGTTTTAGGCTTTTGGGGTGAGAGGGAGGCTGGTCCCCGAATCCACTTTATTCAACATCCCCCATGACCCAGTTCTAACCTACAGAATTTGGTGCCCTCCCCCACCAAATCTCAGACAAATATGCCCTCTCAACGTCAGGGCCATCCTCCCTGGAAACCCACCCTGACCTCTGCCTTCTACAGGGGGCCTGTCTCCCATTAAACACCCACTCCTCACAGGGCTGAGCACAGCTGCAGCCTACGAGGCTTTTGTACCAAGTTTGGGGCCAGCAAACCTTTTCTTAAATGGCCAGACCAAAAATATTTTACGTTTTGCAGACCACGTGGTCTCAGCTGCAACTTCTCAACCCCGTTCTCGGTCCTCGTAGATCTGATGTGGTGACGGACACTGTGTCACAAATGAATGGGGTTGGCTGGGTTCTAATAAAACTTTATTTACAGACAGACGGCAGGCAGGCTCTATGTTTGCTGACCCCTGATTTAAGCATTGGGTGAGCAGATGGCCCGGTTTGTGTGGGACTCTGTGATTTTAGCACTAGGAGCCCCATTTGGGGGCAACTCCGCAGGCCCAGCAAATCGGGACGGTTGGCTGCCCTATTCATGCAACGCTCACCATGTCCCTGCATTACCGCGTTCGGACCCACGCTGACCCCGTGCCAAAGCTTCGACAGTGGCTGAGCCCAGATTCAGACCTGGGATCTTCTGCCTCCTGAAGCTTTTCTGTCTCTTGGGTACCGGGAGAAGGAGCTGCTGCTACAAGCGCTCTGTTCTACCTTTTGGGACAGGAATACACCTCATCTTGGTGGGCTTTTTCTCTTCTAGAAAAATACCTCCCGCGGCCTCTTTGGGAGCCACGGATCCCTTCACTTCAGGGTGTGGCCTGCAGACAAAGTTCAAAGACAGGGTTGAGTCCCGGTAGGTATTGGCTGCAGCTGGAGAAGTGGGGGGAGACAGGGGACAGGCAGGAGGGAACGTGGCAGGCCATGGGGGCAGAGTCAGTGAGAAGTGGAAGAATGTCGGCCCCCGGCCCCCTGACTCTCTGGAACCAGCGTGACACACAAGGAAGGCGTTCAGGGCGCTTTGGTGGGAGAGGGGTGTCCACCCTGGGCTGGGGCAGCTGACCCTGGAAAAGGCGGGATCGTGCATTAGGAGAAACGTGCGTTTCCTCGCCCTTTGGAAGTGATGAAAAAAATCACATTGGGGACTTGACATCGTGGAGCTGGGGACCCAGAGGCTGAAGGACTTGGGGGACATCTGAGCAGTCTCCGTGGGGCCTTGTCACCCCATCCTTCTGGGCAGGGAACAGGTCCCCGGGTTCTCCCCCTCCGCTGGAGGACACTGCAGCCCCAGGGGGCTCCCCTTTGGCGGCTTTTTCCAAGGCCTGGACCTAAGTGGGCGTCAGGGATGACAGGTGCTTGATGCAGCCACCAGAGGGCGCCCGCCACCAGCTCTTGGAGCCATTGAGAGGCCGGCCCTTCCCAGTTTTTGAGGAGCAGGGATTGCTGAGCCAGGGACCGGCTGCAGACCCAGAACAACGGGCTCCTTGGGTACATTTGTACCCAGGCGGTGATCTGTGGTGCTTGCCAATGTCCTTGTTGTAAATACTCCCAGGGCTGATTCTGAGCCACCAACTATGTATAAAATAAATGATACAACAAATAAAAATCTTCTCAAGAACATAGATAAAAGCAGAATGTAGTAAAATAATTAGGAAGTGATGAGTGTTGAGTATTGGAGGTTTTTTATAACTTAACTTTGACACAAGTGGCTTACAGATTCTGAAAATCTAACAGTGGGCCCTGGGAGACGGCTATAGGCTGACTCCTGCACACCCCTGTGCTCTCCTCTTGCCCCCACCTCCCCTCGACCTTCAACATCACCGCCTGAATCACCCATTCATCCATTCGGCACATATATTCTGAGCACGAACATCTGCAACATCTCCCACGAGTCCCCTCAAACAGCCTGGGAAGGAGGACTTGTATTCTCCTCATTTTACAGGAGAAACTGAGGCCAAATCACCTGTCTCAGGTCACACATAGGATCTGGGACTGGAACCCAGGCCTGAATCAGAAAACCCTGTTCCTACCACAGTGTCGTGCTGTCCTTGAGGTCCCAGCAGGGTTCCAGGGGGAATGCCGTGCCCCAAACTCTCCCTGCTGCTGACCTGTCCTGGCGTCTGGAAGTCCCCAGCAGTCACGCTTGCAGCTCCTGGTGGCTGAGGGAAGGCGCTGGTACTGGGGAAGGTGACAGGGTCGAAGCCAGCTCCCTCCTTGCAGAGAGCAGGATGCAGTAAAGCTGCGGTCCAGGACACAGAGAGATGGTGGGGGGCGGGGGGCCCTGGGCATTTAGCGCACGTCTAGCCCCGTGCCAAACACTTCAGCTGCAGGATCTACTCGGGCCTCACAACCACCTGGGACGTGAGTATAATTATTATCCCATTTTACTGCTGGGGAAACTGAGGTTCAGGAGGCTAATTCACTTGCGCCAGCAGGGTGCATTGCTAAGAAAGCAGATTCTGCTGACTTCAGCTCTGGCGGCAGCGAAGGAAGGACGGTAGACAGGAAATCAGGAAATGGAGGGGACGCATACTAAGTTTACTCTAGGTCTCTTGTGTCTTCCGGGCTGGGGTTGCCAGCCCTGCAATGGTTCATCCGGCAGCTGATCTGGGCAGAGCCTCCTCAAGCTTGCCCTCTATATCCCGCCCCATCTGCCACTCAGGCCATATAACTCGAATGTCATGGTGTGTCCAGCCTGTGCCAGGCACCATGCTAGGTCCCGGGGATGCCATGTGGGGCTCCTGGCCTGGAGGGAGAGCGATTCATCAAATGATCACCTAGAGAAATAGGAGATCGTGGCTGGGCCCGGAGCCCCAAAGGAGGGGTGCTGGGGCTCAGAGCATGTGCAGTGTGGCCGGACCTTGGGGGTGAGGTGGGGAAGGGGTCAGGACAATGTTTGAGGCTGGACAGGTGCAGAGTTATTGAGGGTGGGTGTAGAGAGGAGAATGTTCCAGGCACTGAGGACAGTATATAGAACAGGGTGGGGGCGTTGGGAGAATGGAAGAGTCTAGGGCGGCGGGAAGGAGCCAGAGTGGCTGCAGGGGGGCGGGCACGGCTGTTTGAGGATAAGGGGGCCTGAGCCAGCGTGGTGGGTGCGCGAGGTGAGGAATCGAGAGATAACTGGGAAGCAGGAAGTGTAGGAGTTGGTGATGCATGGGCAGGGTGGTGAAGAGAGGGGAGGAAATGGAAACCTCAAGTTTCCTACATGGGTGTCATCAGTGGAAGGAGCAGGTTGGGTGGTGGGATGGGCTTTGGCCCTGGAGAGTCTCCAGGGTCTGGTGAATCTCCAGGCCAAGTGTCAGAAGGCTGCTGGAAAAGACCCTCAACATCATTAGCCATCAGGGGAATGCAAGTGACAGCCACCGTGAGATGTCACCTCACGCCACCAGAAGGACTACCATTCAAGCCCCACAGTGCCACGTGCCGATGAGGATGCGGAGAAGCTAGAACACTCGCATGTTGCTGCTGGGAATGCAACAGGGCACTGCCACTTTGGAAGCCAGCGTGGCGCTTTCTTACGAAGTTAGACATGTATTCAGCATACTGCATATTTGCACCAAGTTGCACATCCGGGCAACTTCAAAATCCCTTTCCTAGGTATTTCTGCGAAAGAATGAAGATGTGTGTCCATGCAAAGACCTGTATGCAATGTTTATGGCAGCTTTATTCATAGTAGCCAAAAAGCGGGAAACAATCCAAAGATCCATCATCTGGTGAATGGATAAATGAACAACGGGACGCTACTCGGAATAAAAAGGAGCAAATGGTTGGTACGTGCACCAACGTGGACGAATCTCAAACACATGCTGAGTTAAAGAGGCCAGACACAAAGGGCTATGTGTATACTATGTGGCTTCAATGATAAAAAGTCCAAGAACAGGCAAAGCCAATCCAGAGTGGTAGAAATCAGCCCAGTGGTTACCCTTTTGGGGGATGACGTAGGAAGGGCTGGAAGGAGGCTTCTGGGGTGATGGGGACATCGTGCTCCATCTTGGTCTGGGTGGTGGTCACATGGGATCGTCCTTTACTGAAGCTCACTCGACTCTTCTCGTCCGACTGGTGCATTTTACCGTGTGGGAATTGTGCCCCAGTGCAAGCAGATGAACAAGCAGGCGGGCAGTGGGTTCCTGAGCCTGGGCCTGCCTGTGGGTCTGCTCAGGTGAAGGAGCATGCCTGAGCGTGGAGGGCTTGGACATCCCCAGAGAGAGGAAGAGGCCACAGCTCCTGGGGCCACCTCCCACCCCAGCTCCTCCTTTCCTTCAGTGGCTGCTACTGTGTTCGGACACCTTCAGTGACTCCCTGGTGACCGAGGAGAAAAGAAGTTTCCAATCTTGTCATTTGCTGGCCATTGACCTAAATGTTTCATGGTCCAGACAGACTGACCTCGTCACTCCTCACTCCTCCTCACACATGCTTCCTGCCTCTGATCCATCACCCCTTCCACTGCCTCTCTCTGGGGCTCAGCTCCCCCAGGCCCCGAGCACTTTCTGAGCTCAAGGTTGATCCAGCCATGCCTCTGGGCTCCCTGTTTGCTTGTCCCTCGTCTTCCCGGTTCTTTGCCCTGAGCTCTGGGCACAGAGATCAGTCTGGCTGGCCAAAAGGTAACTCTAGGTTGTTCTCCTCCTTTCCGGGCCTCCATCTCTCCGTCTGTGAAATGGGTATCGGCGTGTCTGCTCATGCCACTGAGTGGCCACTGTTCACTCACCTGTTCCTCCCACTCAGGTGGGAGCCACACGAGGCAGGGTCTTGTGGGTCTTTCA